TTGCATTTATGAACGACAGGATTGTGCAAACAGCTCTCACAAATGAAAGCTGATAAGCGTGCTGGTATCAGAGTTATTCAGCGTGTATACCTTTGTGCTGGTAAAAATGCTTCTTTTCATCTCATTTCATACCTCATTTGCATCTGACTTGCAAAACAGTTGAACAAAATTCAAAATATTTCAGATTCTTGACTCTTGCCAATTCCTGCTGCAAATGAGTTTAATAGAGATAGTTTTATATTGTTTTTGACATATGTATACACTACCGGTCAAAAGTTTGGGATCAGTAATACTTGTAATGTTAGCACAACAGTTTCCAGCACTGATAATAAATCAGCATATTAGAATGATTTCTGAAGATCATGTGACACTGAAGACTGCAGTAATGATGCTGAAAATTCAGCTTTACCATCACAGGAATAAATTACATTTTAATGTATATTAAAATAGAAAAACGTTATTTTACATCATAATAATATTTCACAATATACAATTTTTTTACTGTATTTTTTATCAAATAAATGCAGCTTTGATGAGCATAAAAAACTCCTTTAAAAAACATTAGAAATTGTTCTGATCCCAAACTTTTGACCGGTAGTGTATATGTGATGCATGTACGTACGTACGTACAAACACACACAAACACACAGCTACTTTTAAAAGTAATGCTTTACAATATTGCGTTACTCCATAAAAAAAAGTAACCGATTGCCTTTGTTACATTTCATGGAACGTAATGGACACTGGACAGCAGTGAACACTGGATAACTTTCTTTAGGTAAATGACATATTGTTCATAATCTGTTTTATTTGACGTCTTTCAGTTGAAATGCTGATTGAGCGATTACATAAAACATGATACATTTCAGTAAGTTGTACTGTATCTGCCAACATGCCTTCTGATATTAATTGATATTTTGTGCTATAACTTGTATTAAAGTGAAAGAGAATGCATTACCGCTTGAATTGAAGTGGCTACGGTGATCTGTCACGCCACATTTAAGAGCATCAAAATGGCATTTAGTGTTAAAATTGACATTACTTGACACACAAAGCTCTTTGCGATTATTGGACAGGAGGTGAGTTACAAATAATGTTATGTGAAGGAGAACCGTGGACCTGGCAACCCTTAACTATGGTGATTTATAGAGTTAAATAGAACCTGCATTAAAGGTTTAAAAAAAAAAAGATTGTGTTAATGCATTATTATCACGTTAACTTTGACAGCCCTTTTACGCTCCCTTTTATATGGCAGGATACAATGTGTGTGTGTGTAAATATCCACCAGGAATAGTAACGCACGTTTAGCATTCATAGTACTATTTCATTTGACTCTACAATTAGGAATGCATTTGTTTATTCTATATGAAATGGGACAGTGCATTTTAATTTTATCAGCATATGCATCTATTTCATATGCATCATAATATCTGGATATATATTTATGTGACAGCTCTCTGTTCTCATTTGCAATATCAAGATCTCCCTGCTTCGTGTAAAAATGCTGTAAGCGAAAAGTTTTTGCATCAGTATGCATAAAATGTCCCTATCACCTGACAGATAGCACTGAAATAGGTGTCTGGAGAAATCACACCCGTCTCTCCGTGACAGACCCAGACTCTGTAAACAGCTAAAAAATGGTCAAGAGAGTGACTCATGCTTTTTAAGCAGTCAAAACACCAGCCAATCAGAATCGCTCTCCGCACATTCTGGTTTGCTGACATCAGGTTGGCTAAAATGACTTTGGAGGGCAGAGATTTGGAAAGAGGGAGTATGACTCAAGTGAACAAAACTGCTGAAATCACAGATAACACCTTTGAATGAATATAAGACTAAATTGAAAACCAAGCATTTTTATTTTTATTCTGTGTGTTATACCAACTCACAGGACAATTGAGAATTTAAGTGTGAAACTAGTTTTGAAATATAGTATTCAAACTAATTCTGAACATCTAGAGTTTTTACTTTGGTTCTATAAGGAAAGGACTATTAACAAGCACCATAACAGTAGTTAATAGTTCAAATCTTCTGAAGTCATACAATAGCTTGACATATATCTGGTATTATTAGCAGAAACTGATTCAAATACAGAATAACCACAAGCTTCTCTGTTCATATATTGCACTATAGTGTGTTAAAATTCAAAGTTTACCATGCATGATCTTGGAAATAAGCTTCATGTTTTTGCATACATTTTATCTCCTGATTGAACAACATCTATTTCAAACTCTTCTAATTCTATTTTACTTGAATTACACTTTTCATAGGAGTTAAGTGTTATATGTATATGCTGTTGAATTAATGATTAATTTAACTAATTTAACTAATGTTTAACTGCTTCAACATGCATACTGTTAATGAAATCACTGTTAAACACTTATGAGCACGAATAAAAACTATTATTATATATATAAATATTAGGTAACACTTTATTTTAAGGTGTCCTTGTTACATGTACTTACTATTATAACAACAATAAATTATGCACAATTACATGCAGGTAACCATAAGCCAAACCCTAATCCTAACCATAAACTGTAGTAACTACATGTAATTAATTACCATTACTCAGTACTTAAATGTATAATTATACATTGTAACAAGGACCCCTTAAAATAAAGTACAACCAAACACAGTGAATAACTGTATAAGTCAAATTAATTAGCATACATTACAAAGCATAAATCTTTATTCAGATTTCAGAATGAGCACTTTGTCACATACTGTATATTGAGGATCTCGTGCACCTACTGATTTGATTTGAATATGAACGCACCATTTTAATAAACAGAGGAAATGCACGATTTGAAAAAAACAAAAACATTTACATGCTTAGGACGTAAGAATGCACAAGGAGGCTTCATATGACTTGTTAGGTAATGTTCTCTTATGAAAATCAAATGATACTAATAGTAATATAGTGATGCAGTGGCTTTGCTTTTTATGATGCCATAAACAATCCAGTTCTCTATTATAGATCTTTGGTTTAGATGCATTTTGACAGGTTTGATATCATTGGCGCCAAACACTATTGATCGCAATGATCACGCTAGGCAACAAATGAGATTTGAGCGATATGGCAGAGAGGGAGATCATAAAAAAAAAAAAAAAAAAAAAAAAGGCTTACATTTCAGTCTCTTCCTCACATAAACTGTATATGACTTCAGAAGACTTTAAATTAAATGTCCAAGTTGTATGGCCCACTTCAACTGTGCTTTTAGTGTTTTTTTTGTTCTCTTTGATGCCTAAAAGAATAAATCAAAAACCTTTCACTTTCACTGCATGGACAAGAGCAGCTTGGACAAGAGAAAGAAAGGTTCCGAATAGGTTTAGAACATCACTCACGCAGGCACAGAGGAACCTCTCCGCTCCAGGAGCCGTTGCCGACACACGTGAGGACGGCAGGGAAGGACAGTTCGTATCCCATCAGGCAGCGGTAGCTCACGCTGGTGCCCCACTCGAACACAGAGCCCTCCACCTCACCGTTAGACACGCCGGGCGGAGGAGCGCAGGTCACCGCTGAAGAGAAAAACACATGGAGAGAGATCCGAGTTCATTAGAATGCATGAAAGCCTGGCGACGGTGTCATTCATTTACACGTGCTGCCGGTGTTGTTTCACAGGTCGATTCAATAAAGGAGTTATGCAAATTAGGTAATGCCACAAATGAGGTTGTTTGGTCAGTCTGGTCTAGATTTGAGACTTTTTTTTTTTTTTAAGATGTCTGTTATGTTCACCAAGTCTGCATTTATTTGATCAAAGAGGCGATAAAAACAGTAATATTGAAAAATATTATTACAATTTTAAATAACTGTTTTCTATGTGAATATATATTTTTAAAACGTAATTTATTCCTGTGATCAAAGCTGAATTTTCAGCATCATTACTCCAGTCTTCAGTGTCACATGATTCTTCAGAATCATTCTAATATGCTGATTTACTGCTTATTAAGAAACATTTCACATTATTATCAGTGTTGAATAGAGTTGCGTACACAGAGTAACGCTGCGTGTTTCTAAGCATTTCAGGGGACCTTTAATATTTTTGTGGAGACCAAAACAGAAACAATGTAAAAATAAACATACAAATGTTTCAAACGTAACCTTTCAGTTTAAATCTACCTTTATTCTATAGTTAACTCTTGTCTGAATAAGTGCTAGTGTGGTTTCATTTGTTGTTTACTTGTTTATCCAACAGATATTACAAAGAATACAGGCAATGATATTCACAAACATGCCCTCATTTAAGACGGTTTCCCTAGGCGTTTCTAACCAAAATATACAACCAACACACATCTCCACTGAGCACAAGAGAGTAATAAATGAACTTAATTAATAAATACTGGACAAAAACAACATCATATTTCATATGCAGGTCACTCAAGCACACATTCATCATGGCGTCTAAATTTAGACTTAATTTGTTCACACCGAGCAGGAATTTGATTCATTCATATTCACTTCATTAAAACGGCAACTTTAATACCCTCATGTAATAAATTAACATGATGTTTGGATTTTAAAACATTTGAAAGTCTGTCAAACACTTGAGAGTTCAAATGAATGTTAATTTGGAATTGTCCCACAGTGTTAGTATTTCGTTGCTAGCTGTCCCACATCACACACACACACACACACACACACACACACACACACAAATGATCTGACTACAAGCAATTACTGCTGTCAGGATCATTAGAAAACAAAGACTTTAATTACCACCTGTTTCCACACTAACAATGCCAAACAAATAGTGATAAATACTGCAAACTAAATTAAATTCACCATTCACTTTTCACATCGATCACAGAAAAAAAAAAACAACTAAACTTCCTCATGGAGTGTCAGTGTAGCCGACACTGAAGTCCTGATCTGTATTTTGAGGCTGTACTGCCCTCTGGCCAAGCTTTAATATTTTGTAGACTTGTCTTGAAAGTGTCTCGCTGAAGAAAGGAAGGGTTTTTTTCTGTCGTTTTTCTACCGTGAAGGACTATGTTCCACTTCGACATCATATAATAAAGCACAGACACTGTATTCAATATGTCACTGATGATCACTCCAGCAGCTTCAAGTGTTATTTATGAATGGTGACTAAAACACAGGGTTTTTACAGCACGTTCGCTTGTTTTCAAGGTGTTAAGAGGTGTGGAAGAGGCTGGTTAAACACAACATTAGCTGGAAATCACCTCAGAGTCATCTTTTGCAACCTGCTTTCACCACAGCAACTGTTGCATCATCTCTATTTGAACGTTTAGGAAAGACTTTGGTGTCGTTTTGTGTATGGATCGAGTGTTAAATCCAAGCGAATGTTTATTTACAAATAACATATAGGACTTCCTGCATTGGCGAAATCAACAGAAATCGGCAAACGTCCGCAGGGCCAATCAAAAGATGTTTTAAATTGCAAATCTCGAATTGAAAAAAGGACGCGGGGGGAGCAGATGGAAACTCGTGAGCTGATATTCTGACAGTGCTGGAGAGCAGTCGGTGGGGAGCAGCTGGGGTCTGGACGGCGTATGAATAAATTATGAGATGTTTTGGGAAGCAAGTGCCCCAATAAAACCTCTAAAAAAGATGTGTGGAGTCGCAGCGCTGCTCTGTAAAGATCCTTTTGTTCATGTGTAAATCTGCCCAGGTAAAACTAATAAATTAGACTCAAAGGTCAATTGCGTGTCTATTAGTTCATCACACTGAATAGCCATCAGCTTTCGTTAAAGGGACGGTTGAAACCAAAATGACAAATTTACTTAACCTCATGTCATTATAAACCCTTTCTTACATGGAACACAAAACAACATTTAAAAAAGGTCCACAAAAGAAATGTTTTGTAGGTTTAGGAAGATTTGTTATTACTCATGTCATTCCAAACGAGTTGCTACTTTCCTCTCTTTTCTATTAGCTGTCACATTCTATCTCCCTTCCTAATTGTACAAGATATGCAAGCAAATTGATTGTATCAAAAAGTAGTAGCACACCAAAAGTGTTTGAAAAGTTCTTTCAATCATGAGTGACAGATCAGAGGTCATGTGAAGTGATCCTCAGAGTCTGTAACACATCAGTGGTTCTCCTGAGCGTTTGTGACATGACACAGTGGAATATTTAAAACGAAAAGAATGGACGATTATCAGTGATAATCGTGATAACTCGTGAAAGAGTTGAATTTCAGTCAGTTTTAGACCTGGAATATAGTGTGTGACGAGAGGGGCGGGGCCGAGAGCTATGGGAACGGAGCGAGGCCGGTGGAGTAAATGCTAATGCACGACACCTGCGCCACTCACCGGTCTCGAGTCCCATGGAGGAGCTCCGGAAGGATAAAAGGAGGAGTGACGACAGTGTTGGACGAGAGAGGACCAGGCCTGGATTTTATTTTGTGTTTTGTGTGCGGCAGTCGTCCGCGAGGGGCTGCCACTTTACTTTCATTTTGTGTTTATTTTATTAAAGTTTTGTTAAAATGTTCGTCGGTTCCCGCCTCCTTCCCGTGACTACGAACTGTGTTACATAGTGTTCAAGTAGTATAGACAATTTTTTGTAGCACTGACGATGTTGAACATTTTCATAACACACCGCAAACCTCTCATTTTCACCAAAGTAAATAAATAAAAAAACACATATGTGACCCTGGACCACAAAACCAGTCTTAAGTGTCAATTTTTCGAAATCAAGATTTATACACCATCTGAAAGCTGAATAAATAAGCTTTCCATTGATGTATGGTACACATATGTGACCCTGGACCACAAAACCAGTCTTAAGTGTCAATTTTTCGAAATCAAGATTTATACACCATCTGAAAGCTGAATAAATAAGCTTTCCATTGATGTATGGTTTGTTAGGATAGGACAATATGTGGCCGATATATAACTATTTGAAAATATGGAATCTGAGGGTGCAAAAAATCTAAATATTGAGAAAATCGCCTTTAAAGTTGTCCAAATGAAGTTCTTAGAAATGCATATTACTAATCAAAAATTAAGTTTTGATATATTTACGGTAGGAAATTTGCAAAATATCTTCATGGAACATGATCTTTACTTAATATCCTAATGATTTTTGGCATAAAAGAAAAATCGATAATTTTGACCCATACAATGTATTTTTGGCTATTGCTACAAATATACCCCAGCGACTTAAGACTGGTTTTGTGGTCCAGGGTCACATATGTGTGTGTGCGCATATATATATATATAGTATTTAAACATGCTGCAAAAATTGTCCATACGACGTAAACACTAGTCCTATATACTTAAATATATATATATTAAACATATTTATAAGTGTGTGTGTATATACTGTCTACAGATAGTATGTCTACATAATATATGAGACCTGTGTATACAGTAAATACATCAGTATGTTTTAATGACCACAAAAAACAGCATCTTTAAAAGTTGCAGGAACCATGGGAAAGTTGCTAAATGTGGTAACAAATCTCCCAAACTTCTACAGCCATTTTTGGAGTTCGACAGCCCCTTCAAACTGAATTTCCCTCAAAAATCCTCCTTCTGGGTTCCACAGAAGAAAATAAAGTAATTCGCGTTCGGAGCGACATGAGGTCGAGTAAATGATGACATATTTCATTTTTGGGTGAAGCGCTCCTCTAAGCTTTGTGCTGCATACAATTCTCTTCAGTAGGAAAATATGCCTTGCACGGCTGCCTGGCTGATCTGGAGGTGCTGGAAACGTCCTGCGAGCTGCTCGTAGCTTTGGAGATTAAGTGTGAAGGCAGGACAGAAGATCCCTCCGCAGAAGAGCGCACTGGCCCTAAGCCTGCGGCTTATAGTGCCGCTGCTTCAGTAAATATAAAAGGCGCTGAGAGAGAGCCGCGAGTCCAGCGGCAGGGCCGGAGAGTTTGGCAAGCTGTCCGACCCAATCAAAGTCAAAAGCGAAGGGATAAAGCAAGCGCAGCCGCCTTCTGCAGAGGTGACCTGGATGATTGAAAGCCTTCACATATAGGATGCAGGATGTATAATGTATAATAAATGAGCGTAGCGGCTGTTCAAGGTGTGTGGAGACTGCTTTAAGCAGACACGAGCATGATGAAGATGATGATGATGATTTTATGTGTGAATCTCATGGCTCAGGGGTCAGGTTTAATGAGACATGGAAGCTAACAAGGTTAAAAACTGAAATGCTAAGTGTTCATGTCTCTCGGAAGGGTGTTGAATATTAAATCCACTGCTATTAAATAGATTCATGCACCTAACTTAATTATTAAAGCAACACATGCAATAAGCCTTGTTAGTTGATGCTTCAGTTAATAGTCGGTATCTAGTGAAATATTTCAAGTACATACTACATACACACTAAGTGTGATGTACTGTATGCATACAGATAATTACACATACTTCATACAAACAGCTTTAACAGTGAAGTGTCATGTTTAGTGCATAAAAAAACAACAAAAATTTGAAATGGTTATCATTACACCTAACCATTCAGAGTAACCCTGGCTGTATAGAGAATAACAAAGCAGTCCATATGATTCATGCATGCACAATATGTAAAGTCATCAGAACTCATA